TTGTTAAAAAAATCAGTTCTATTTAGCTGCTCATTGTGACTGTGCAACTTAATTTCCCAAACTACCAATTTAGCAATAAATTGTGATTATTGTGCAGAATGAAAAAAACCACAACACCAAAACAATCTGACAAGCATTTTTATAGTTACTTTTTATTCCAACTCTTACTTTTAATAAAAGCTCCTAGTTTAGGATATTTCTTTTCCTAATCACTAGTTTATTCCTCATTTTAAATATATATTCTTCGCAGCTTAATTTTATAGTTTGGCATTTTGCCATCAGTTTATATTTTAATCCAAATTGTTTTACATTTTTCTATTAAAGAAATAATCATAAAGAATTAAGAATGTTTCTTTGGAAAATAAAGAAATTTTCCTTTAAAGAGGAGATTTAATCACAAGATCAACTCTCTTTCACAGTTTAGCAAGCATTGGTGCTTTATCAATTACAGAATTGTCTGATTGCCAATTAAAACTGTGTTAGAAATGTGAATAAAGCACAGCAATGAAATTGTTACATCCTTTAAGAATACATTTAAGATGGCTGTTTCTTCCCAGTTGCAAACAGAACAAGAACAAAGAAATGCCTCCCTGTTTACTCAGTGTAAGTGCATAACATCACTGAGATTCTTTAGCTCAGCAAGGATATCAGCTGTTTTAACATCCTTCACATCTAAAAACGATGTGCTTATGGAAGTATTGATAAATTATGACTTCTTTGATCTGTAAGAAGGAACATTTAAATCAAACCCTTTGTTAATTTCTTCATTCCAAGCAGTGCACCTGCACACCTAAAGCTGTAACATTAGCTAACAATTTGGTGATTATCTCTAGCAGTAAAAGACTGGATACTGATTGCTGCTAAAAGATTTACTGAAATACAACAAGAAAACCAGGAACAGTTTAAACTTTGTTTAAGGTAAATCACTTCAAGGACAAAAGCACTCTAAAGAAAAACCTGATTTGAAATTTGTTTCTAGGTCAGGAAATTATTATTGAAAAGTTGAAATGCAGCAATTAAAGAAGCACTGCAATTAAAAAAACTGAACATGGCTGCTAGATAAAAGACATGCCAAATATCTGAACTATGATGCAGGTGAGCCTAACTCAGTTAGGCTTAGGAATACACCAAAATTAACAGCACCAAGTTTAAAACTGTCTGGAGAGAGAGCTTTCCTCCACTAGCTAGACTGAAGTATGGTATTTAGCTTCTTCATGTGGAACTTATATACAAGTTTGACCTGTCTCTGATTTGAAGAACTCGATCATCTCTTGCATTACCTCACCCCAATAATGTGATAATGAGAATAAAAAGAGAAAAATGCGTCAAGTTCTTTTTTTATATTTCCTTGCCTCAGAGAAAACCAGTTTCAAATAATTAGGTGTTTGCACATAATAGCCTACTTTCTTAAAAAAGCATTTATTTGAGTATTTTTAGATCAAATTAATTTTTCTGTGAAACTCACATGCAGATAATTTACCCTTTTGTGTCTTTTAACAAGCAAGCCTAGCATAAAATCAAAATATTAATGAGAAAAGCTAATTCTACTGCATGTCAAATATTTAATTCTGGAATAAAACTGATATTGGAGACATCTGGATCAAAGTAAATATAGTGGGATATGTAAGAAAGATTGAAGGCTGATTTTCAAAGATATGGAATGAACTGTTAATTTATTTATCTTTGCAAATCCATCTAAGCTAAAAAATAGCATTAGTGAAAAGAAATTCACTTGCACAGCAGGAAAGCTCTTGAGCCTAACATCTAAACTTTTTTCAAATGCTCAAGGCAATCTTTATAAAGCCGTAATTATTTCCTAAGTCTCTGAAAACGTTCTGCCTTACAGAGCTTAAGTGACTGGTCAATCAACATCCCACACACCACTCAAACCAAGTTGACACTTGTTGCAGAATTTCTTTTCCATAAGCGAAAAAATCAAGTACAAGCTCAGTTTTTTCCACAGGAGTTAACAGTGAGAATCCTTCTAATTTCTTTTTTTGAAAGGCTTAAAATAAACTCATATGCATTACCTGGCCACATAATGTACACAGACACTTCTACAAACAAATTTACAGGACAGTGTGCATTTTTCCAAATGACTCAAGAGTTCATCTTAAATTGATCTAAAGAGAAGAAAAATAACCATTGATCTCAGAAATTCTTCAAAAACAATTAAATTGAGACTTATTTAAATCTACAATAACCTGCCAGAAAACCAAAAGGTAGCAACACACAATGCCTGATGAGGATATTTTCCTTTTCTATCATCACTACAGTATTTACTGCAATATCTGAATAGAGGAAAAAAGGTGATAAACCATTGCACACCTGTGGAACTTTTGTAGAACTGCTGCTTTTTGCAGTGATAAGAATAGCTTCTAGTGTGGCCAGCCTTCACCTTTGAAGAAGGCTATGTAAGGGAGCACAAGTAATATGGAAAGAAGGAGATCCTTACGAACAGTAACTAAAACAAAAATACATAGGATGGATTAAGAAGTGACATAAAATGTTCATGTGCACCAGAACTCCTTGTTACATAGTAGCACACAAACAGCAGATTTCTCAAAACTTTCAGCTGCACGATACTCTTGTATAACTGCACTGCAGATTCTGTATGCTTGCTGGTTGAACAATAAAGGAACATAAGAGCTACAATACAACAGACCTCAATCAAGATGCTGTTGGATAACACCATAAGATGAAGAACTTTGTATTTAAACAAGTGTCTGAAGAAAACAAACAAACCTACTGAAATGTACTTTGTTCATAGGGAACTCTTTGTCCTTGTATCTGTTCCAAGGAAAGAGATTTATAGTGGATGCACCTTCAGAAAGAGAATGTACTTAGCAAGTGCAGGACAAGAGCACCACTCAGTGGAACTATCAGAGAAAATAATACTGGTAAAGTCAGTGCTACTTATTCATAGCCCAGCAACAAAATTGAGCTGAAGGTGATTCTACTAAGACTAAAATCTTCCTCAGAATAATTTCAGGTGAAAAGATGGCCAGCTTTAAATTAGAGTCTCTGTAATATGAAGTTCTAACCTTAATATTACTTTTTTACTGGCTCTCTTTTCAACATACAGTTATTACATTTCCATTAGTATCTTATTTCTTTCTCAAAAATAGAAATTATAATTACGAAAAGGAAGACATATGAGTCATCTTTCACTGTTCAGTTTTTGAAATCACCAGCATCTCCCAAAAACACTAAAGTCTGTCTGCATCAGATCTCAAAGTATAACTTAGTCTTTAGACTTCAGAAATAAAGTTTAACACCCTTCATAAAACTTGTCTGCTGGACATTGACAACATGCCTTTAAAATGCCAGCTACATTTACCCCTGCATAAAATACCAGCAGAGGATGTAAGATACCCCTACTTCCACACATATTTTTTTTTTATTTTTCTGTATAAATTTGAATTTTGCAGTTCCCAAGAAAAGCTTCAAATACGAGTGCTTGAATGTTTTGATTTTCACTATTTACCTGCTGAAACTAGAAACTTTTTGGAATGAGGAATTAAAATTAGCAAGTCCTGTGGTAAGGCCAGTGGCAGCCCAACCAGGGTGTTTCTAAGGGTACTGGGTCCAGGGGTTACCTTTGCCATGGCAGCCTGTGCATTGCTGTGTTTTATGTCTATGCCTGACCCAGCGTTGATAGCACACCGGTATCAGCAGTGTTTGCACAGCATCAAGGCCTTCTCTGTCACTCTGCTCCCCCAGTGAAGAGGCTGAGGATGTGCAAGATGCTGTGAGGAGACACAGCTGGGACATCCCCCTGCTTGCTCTGCCTGAGAGAGCTATGACAAAAGCACCAGCTTAAGCTTAATCTGGTTATTTGGGCCCTGTGTTCCTGCAGTCCTGTCAGGTGTGGCCCTGTACCAAAGCAGCCTTACCCACTGGACACAGCTCCTGTCACCAAACACACAACAGCTCTGCTGGAGGACTCTGCAAAGGCTGCCCTGTGGCCTGACATGCTGAACCTGTGCTCAGAGCGAGGGTCTACAGCAGGTGTGTCACAGCAATGAACTTCAGATTGCAGCAAAGCTTCTGTGAATCCTGGCTGAATGTGACAGTGCAAAACTATACACTTGTAGTTGTCATTAAAGAGGTGTAAAGTGATCAGACAGAAAGTTATCCAGTCAGGGTTTTATCTGAATCTCTCCCTTACAATACAACATATTTTGCAGCATAAAATGCCAGGCAACTCCAAAAAATTAGAAGAAAGATCCTCTAAGAACACAGCTACTACTGTCATATCTGGTTAAATGTTTAAGGAAGATTCTAAAAAAAAAAAAAAAAGAATTCCAGTGAATCATAAATCCCAGTATGTTTCTCCTTTAACCCATGATTATGCATTGATGAACATCTGCAAGCTAAATCATCTCCATAAAACTGTATTTAAAAACACACTTTGCTACAATCCTAATTTGGATCCTGAAGTTCACCAACCTATCCAGTCATTTCATACTAATAAATAGGCCAATACCTAAAGTTTGTAAAGTCTAGTCTTTTCCCAAGACCACCTCATGATCCCTTCTCACTGAGGATTACTGCACATTCACAGCAAATCTGTGTTGCTGACACACAAAATGTCCATACATATGGGACAACTGAGTAACACAGTCTATCAAGCTCTCATGGGGATGGATCCCATTGTCCCTATTTGGAAAGATGTTCCTCCTTCTGCCTCACACACAGCAAATCCATAATTAAAGTATCTGCAGATGCTGCCCATACGATAGAAGGATTCATGATCTTATTTTCCCAGAGTTCTATTTCTCTGAAAGAGAAATATATCTGTATCTGTCCTATAATACACCCCAAAATAAACAATGAGGAGTGCATTTAACAGCTAGAAATCCCAAATACACAAAACATTCACACACCCTCTGCTAATTACACTACATTTCTAGGACACAGATTGGTTCTTTGGGAAATAGGAAAATGTTCAGTACTCAAACACTGCAGAATCTGCTTCAGTCACCATAATCAATTACCTGGTAAATCAGTCTTCATAATATCAATGCCAACTTGAAGCTCAGGCTCAGCTGCAAGGACTGCATAATCTCCTTGATGAGAGACATTGAAGCTGTAATTTGAGTTGATACCAACTACGTTACTGGCCAGGAAAGGTTTTCCTTTTGGTGTCCTTTGCAAGTGGACTTCGTTCCAAGGTATGCACAGCTCCTCTGCCATTAATTTCCGCATCAGCAGGCGACCAGCCTGTGAAAAAAAAATGGAAGTAATTCACACAGAACTATTGTGCTACATAGTTGCTAAAAAACCACCCACCTAAAAAATGTTGGTTTATTACTCTTGATATCACTTTGCGTATTTTAGCCAAATAATTAAAATTTCTCCCTTTTATAAAACCTGCGTCAAATAAGTTTAAGCAGAAGAGTACATCAGAGCATCAAACACACGGCCACTATTAGCACAATTAACGTAAGTCCCAGCCTAGACATATCGTAGTAGTTCCTTTCTCTACATTAGTAACTTATTTGCGATATTTTGTGGCACAAATAAATACTTTTTACACCACCCTGAACGGTAAAATTATCTCAATAGACTTCATTTCATTACATCCATTTACTACCTAGGTGCTAAATGAAATTCTCAACAGCTAAAATTGATGAGTAACTCCTTTCAGACTAATTAGCAAGCGTGTATTACTATGCTAGTAGGCGAGATTTAAACCCTGGATCTTGTAGAACAGCTTTATTCTCCCAGTCGTTACCCCGATGTCCCATGTAGAGTCCGTCAGGGTACGCTGATTTTGTCTCCTGACTTGGTATCGCGACTTAGAAGTTGGGAAGTCTTTCAGAGTAACTACTGAGAGCAGCCTGCCGTCCCTCCTGGTTTCATACTTTTATACAAGCTTTATCCTTTAGCGTTACACCCCTGAAATGCCCTGACACGGCACGTTTTGCCACGGCAAATCTGAAACTTGGGCACCGCTGACTGTGCAGAGAAACAACCGCGCTCCGGCTCCCCATGTACCAAGGCGGCTTTGGCATCGCGGGCAAACACAAACTTGCCGATGCGCTCCTTCTCCTCGGGCTGCACCAGCTGCGCGGCCAGCAGCCACTCGCGGCGGCGGGGCCGCCATGCACCGCACGGGAAGGCCCAGCGCACGCTGCCCATGGCCGGCCCCGCCGCCACGGCCCGGCCGCGCTCGCTGCGCCCGCCCCCCGGGCCTGGCGGTAGCCAATCGACGTGCGGGAAGCGCGGAGGGCCCCGCCCCTGAGAGCAATACCCAACCAAATGTCAGAGCGCCCTGTGAGTGACAGCGGAATGCGCCAGGTAGCGACCTATCAGGGGAAAGGCGGTGCCTGCGGCGGAGCAGCACCCGCGGTGTAGTCAGCGAGGACAGGTGGGCGGGCCCTCACCTGGAGTGGCGGCAGGCGGAGCCATTCCGAGTGCAAGGAGCGGGAGAATGACGCCGGAAGGAGCCAATCTGCCGGTGTGGCTGCTGCGGAGGGTGGGCCAGACCGGTCGGTGAGCTGCGGGTGTTGGCTGCAGGTGGGTGTGCGCTGCTCGGAGGGAGCGCTCAGGGGGGACCGGCGCCTCGCCGCCTGCGGAGAGGCGGCAGTGGCGGGGAGCGCCGCATGCCGCGGCCGGGCCGCGCTGTGAGGGAAGGGAATCCCTTTGCCCCATCCCGCCCGTCCTGTCAGAATTAGTCCTCCCTTAGAATGAACGGAGCCGCCGCGGGGCGCAGGCGCGGGCGGTTGAGCATGCGCAGTGGGGGCGCTGCCGGCGCTGCCCTCCCGCGGCGGGGGCGATGGCGGCCGGTGCTGCTGCTGGGCTGAGGATGGCAGATAACCCTGGCCGTGGCACAAGGAGCGTAGCTGCCCGCTAAATTCCGCTTTCCTCGGCCCTGTGCGGCACTGGGAGGTGGTTATGGCCTCGAGGGGGTCCGGGGGAGGTGGTTCTTAGTGGCAGCGCGCCCCGTTGCGGACAGGTGATGCGCGGCCCGTCTGTGCCAGCAGCGCATCCTGCTGAGGTGCCGCCGTCAGCGCATCCATCCCGCTGGAGAGCCCTCCGGGGCCCTGGCAGAGCTGTCGCTGTCGCAGCGGGCTGGGCTCTGTGTACCTTTTATTGACCGCAAAGAGGAGCTGATTGTCCCGAGAGCAGATGCAGCGCGCTGCATCACCCTAGCGGGGTTCTGCCTCCTAAGCATCTGTTCAAACAAAAGGCTCTTGCATCCCGTGCTCGTTGTTCTGTTAAGAATTCCAGTGGTTGTCAACTGGATTCCCATTTTTCCTCAATTATAGGCCATGTGTAAATCCTCAAAAGGTAATAAATTTGTTTGCCCTTTGGTTCTGGAGTTGAACCATAGCTAAAATCTGGGGCCTATTTGAAAATTTACAACCTGTCTTTCTGTTGCTTACCTTTAGAAATACTTGCACTTCATCCATCCCCTACTGACCATGTACAAATGATGCAAAAATGCTGAAAATTGTTTTATTGCAGGTATTTGTTACCATCCTCCTTTGTTGTTGTTGTTCACCGTTGCTGGCTCACTGTTAGTATGGAAAACTGCTGTTTCTGCACAGGCCAGAAGGTCTTTCTGTCCAGAATAAGTCTCAGTTATAGCTTAGTATACTCTTCAGAAAATATTTTAAACACAGAAGTAACTTGAATAAAAAAATGTTTAATCAAGGAATCAATTGGGTATTTGACTTATTTCAAAATATTATTCCTATTTTTCTCCATGATTTAATGAAGCAAGGAATGGCATAATCTTTTGCATTATCCAAACCCATAGATAAAGTTAACTGACAGCAGAGGAGGATTTAACACCATCAAGAAAAAAATCCCTGGAAAATGCTCTTCACTAATATCAAACTGTACCTGAGGCTTACATTTCAAACTTTGTATTCTGTGCACTTTGAAGAGAAAATTGTGGCAGTTTGTATATTTAGTTCCTGATAGATTATAATACTAATGAATTGTGAATCTTACCTAATTCCAAAAAAAACCCCTCTGGTTTGACCGATAGATTTGGCTTGTTCATGTTCTCTGCTTAAGAGATTTAAATATGTAGCACTTTTTTTCACTAGTGGATTAATGTTTTTTTTTAAATGAGCTTCGTGTGTAAGTGCAATCTGAAGCTTAAGGTGCATTGTATAATATGTAATATAATTATGGATGTATTCAATATAAACACACATTTTTAAGTAAAACATGCTATTATAATAAGGTATGCTTAATTAATCTCTAAAGATGCTCAATATTTCATGCGTGTTTTGAACAAACCCGCATTTTAATCACATGCAAAAGTGACAGACTACAGAAGCCATTAAAATCTGTCATTTTCTTTTACAGAATTTGCAGTTATTTTCAGCAGAATTAGAAGTACAGTGTGTCATTTTAATTCCTTTTTTTCCTGAAAATTAAAATTACAGTTCTTGATCTTTTTTGGCAAAGGAAACAATTTGCAAAATAACTTGGTGAATTAGAGAAATTTAATTTTAAGAGAAAATCCAGCCAGTTTTACTTCTTTTAAGTGATTACTACTTTATCTTAATGGGTTCATGTGTTTATCAGGGAACATGCACTTAATAATCACTGCTTGCAGAGTGGGAATCTTCCACTCCGGAAATGCCTTCAGGAATTACTTCAATTTCCTTACTTCCTACTGATACCATGCTAGGGTTTTTTTCCATGTTGATTTTTTTTCATCACTTCTAAAGAACACAAAGCTTTAAAGTCTCTGTGTCACCTTTCAATCTGAGAATATTATCCCAACATTTATAATTGATAAATGTCATTTTTGTGGATTAAATGTCGCAAAAGGTCCTGTCCTCTTTTTTTTTTTTTTTTTGCTTGCTAAAATGATTGACTGAATATTATTTTTCTTTGAAGTTCAGTTATTTATGAAAAACGTGTGAGACTCAGTTGTACTGAAATTTCTAGGCAGGAACTTGGAATTCTCTTAGTGTTTTCAATCTCAGGCAATCAGTGACAATCAACACATTAATGGAATATAAAAGCACAGAACTTGTACTCAGTATTTATAGTTTAATTACATTTTAAGCGACTCTTGGCTTTTTAGTAGTCAGATTTTTAAGTTCATTAGAAGTGTCACCAAATCCTACAGATATGTGTTGCACTCATACTTATCTTAGTGAATGTTAAATTAGAGGCAGAGTGTAGAGTGGCGTTTTTAAAACTTATTAACAAGTCATTAATTTCTCTCCTTTTGAATGGACAAGGAATGAAAATAGCAAATCATCTTGACTGGGTATCCAGTAGACTCAATACTATAATATTTTTAATATTAGATCTTAGAATGGTGATCTTGACCTTTTCAAAACATATATTAATGCACCCTTAAATTTTGTATGGAAAAGACCCCCTGAAAGTTCTCTAGAGAAATCTATACAATTGCTTCATCTTCACTGTGCTTAATTCTTTCATCCTAGGTACATTAAGTGTTCTGTAAAATACCAGGTCTTAATATTTCCCTTTTTTAAAATCCTGGTCCTTAGTAAGACATACTGTCCAAGCTGGGAGAAGGCCATGTAATAAACATAATGTTCCATTGAAGAACAATTTATTTCTCATAAGTTACCTGCTATGAAGTACAAAGATTTAAGTTTTTTTAATTGGTGAGTGCTGTAGCACAGCTGTATTGTGCTTTCAGGTAAAAGCAGATAGATTGTTTTACAATTGGTTGTAATTATTAAAGTACCAAATCAGGGTTGAGTTTTGACTGGTTTTGCCGGCTGTGTTGGAAGAGGAGAGAGCTCTTCCATGCATGTATGTCTACCTGCACAGTGTTACCTGTAATTTCTGAATGGCCACTCCCTTGTGCTGGTACAGTCTGGAGCCTCAGCCCCGTTCCAAGGGTTTGGTCCTGTTTGTGTCAGGCAGACACAGCCCTAAGGGGCTTTTCCTGGCAAAGTAGAGCTGAGCTATGTGTGATATTTATGTGTGCTCAGTGCTACCACAAAGCAGAATTCCCTAGGCTATTTCAAAGTCACACATATTTGTATGTATATTTTTATCTCTCAAAAGTGATCACAGTTTGGTGTCTTTGCTGCTGTCTTTCTGGACCCTCATTTGGGTGTTCGTGCTTCACTGTTATTACACATCCTCTTCCTAGTTTGACATCTTTTCCTTGGTTTTTCACAAAGAAATAATTGCACATCTTCCACCATTCTCAACTTCATTAGCATATTTAAACTTCTCTAACCATTTTGTTTATCAGTTGTAGCAGCTAAGGCTATTTGGACTGTTGGTTTAGCAAAATCTTTTCAGCAAAAATGTTTATTAATATACGTACATTATGTGAGTATGTTCCCATCAGTGCTTTGGTAGGAGCTACAACAGATTCTGCACAAACAAAAGTTCATCTCTGCTCAAAGGTCACTTCACAGTTCTGTTTCCTGTACTGTTTCTGATCTGGTGGAATGGATGTGAAAGTCATTTCTAGGACATCTGTTGCAGTGGTTATGATTTTAGTGTATGCCCGAATGTTCTGAAAATGTCTGTCCTGATGTTTTTGGTCTCCTTTATGAATTTAACAGTATGCTGTGTTTATAGTCTCCTAGTGTAATATCTAGGATTCAACATATATCCAGGTTATTAAATTCATGTCTAAAAGGTCATTTGAACTTCCCAAAGGAAAAGTATAAAAAAATAAATTAATGCATTTCAGTGTCTTCTAGGTACAGAATTATAAGAACACTTAAGAAGGATTGTTGATGGTGCTAACTAAAAACCAATCATAAATATGTTGCATCCTCCATATATCTTTGGAAAGGGAGCATTAGCATTGGTGAAGTGAAAAGTTCCACTAGAAATTCAGTGAGGTTTTGGCAGCTGTTTGCATGGAATGAAGGTCAGTTAAACACTTTCTTGTAGCTTTTTACAAATGCTCAGATACTATGAGGAATGTGTGTATATCTTATATTTTGACTATGATCTTATCAGAGTTCTCAGTGTGGTTACCTGGCATCTGGGTCAATGAGTCTTTATGTTCTAGACTGCTCTGTCCCTTAGTGTCCTGGGAAAAGGACAGTGTTAAATCTGGCAAAGGCTTGTAACCAGGTGATCCCTCATGGCCCTTCCAACCCAAACCACCCTATGCTTCTATGACAGAGGGCTCTCATAAACAGCACAGCTAATGAGGTCTGGGCCCTTATTACTGGATTCTGTGATCATAAGAATGCTCTTACACTCGGAGCTCTCAGGCTGTCCCTTATTTCATCCACCCTAATGACCAAAAGTAGTTTACTATCCCTGTCGGGGTCTCTAGCTTGTCAGAGTGACCCCGAGAAGAGTTTGGAAGTCCCTTTTCCCAGCCCGGCGCTTGAAGAAAGAGTCAGGGCTCTTCATTTCTTGGTCTCAAGGTTGTTTATTGTATCTTATCTATAAAAGTTTTCTCCTGTCCTGCTGAGGTCCCCTGTCGTGGGAGACCTCAGCAGGACAGGAGAAAGAATTTTATTTTATGTCTTTAGACTAAAAACTACGTGTACAATGTTTACAATTACTTTCCAATACCTATCACCTATGTTAGACAGTGAGCTTCTTCTCTAAACCAGTCTAAAAGTGCCAGCATCACAGCAGAAGATGGAGGCCAAGAAGAAGAAGAAGGAGAAAGGCTGGACATGTCCAGATCCCTCCCTTCATCTTGCCCCCTGGACCTCCATTCTAAAAACCCCAAAATCTGCTTTTTCACCATGTGATAAATTCACTATCATTCTACTTAATTTGTCGTGGCTTGCAGATCTTCATCTAAGGTTGGTAACTTGCTCCATGTGTCATAATCAAAACCTCAGTCATTTTGGGCTCTGTGCCAGGGTCTCTGAGACCTCTGGCAGGGGTCTTGGCTGCTCAGGACAGCCAGAGGGATGTCCTAGGTCCTGGCATATCCCCAGCCTTCTGCTCAACTGCTCGCTGCTCTGTGGCCCTACACAGACTGGCCATTGCTTGCCACTTGACTGTCAGGCATGCAGAATCTGGCCCCTCAACTGGACACCTGTACAGATAGTTTTGAGAGGTACATATATGTCCCCTTCACATGTGTTATATGGAGTTGACCTTAATAACTGAAGTTTGTATCAGTTTTCACTGTAGCAGCCAACTGGCCTTGTGTTTCAGGTGTTATCCAATAAAAATAAGCCAGGGAAAGTGTTTAAATTTTAACTTTAGGGGAGTTTAGTTTTGGAATAGTTTTCAGTTGTCTTTGTCAACCAGTTGTTGGTTTGTTGTTTTTTTGGTTTTTTTTCAGAAAAGCAGGCTAATAGCTAAGGGGGCATTTGCCAGTGTAAGACTGTAAAGGTCCAGGACGAGCAGGGAGGTTTTGCCAGATGTTGAGAGATTGGATCACGTACAGAAGTACTTGTGTCATATTCCAGGGAAGGCTGCAAGGCTGGTTGCTGAACAATACCCAGATGTGTCTTAAAGAGGAAAAGTAAGAGATCCCAGATCTAATGAACCATTTACTGGAGCTTGGTTCTTGGTAATCCACAATAAGACAGGCTTTGTAATAGGAATCCTTGGGGAGTTTATGGAGCAAATAAAAGAAGGGGTGTTCCCCAGCATTCTTGAGCTGCAGACCACTTCCACGTATATCTGCACCCCCTACGTTTCTTGCCCTTTTATCAAATATTTATAAAAACCCCTACTGATCAAATATTTATAAAATCCCCCACTGATAATTAATATGGCTTTGTAGAAGAATGCATGAAATAATTATAAATGCCTTGTTTAACATACCAAGTTTTAGCTGAATTGTTAAGAGAGTTTGAAGGGCTCTGAAATCATCAGCAGATTCAGTGAAGTGGTACATTAATACTAAAATTATAAAGTAAATCAGGAATTGGCTACAAGACAGCTAGAAATTGAATTTATTAAGATGTATTTTTTTAATAGAGAGAAGGGTGAATTAGACTAAGTCATCACACAGTGTTCATTACTACATTCCTTAATTGTGGACAAAAACATTAAAGATACACTGCTGAATTTTGCTTTTAAGAAAATAATGCGATACTGCTATTAGAGATTAGGATTAGGATGCACTAGATGACTTGGAAATTGGTCTAGTGAGACAGTGATGAGGTCTGAACCATAACATACAACAAATCTTGTATCAGTGAAAGAAATTTAGGATCAAACCAGAGTAAAGAGAAAACTGCAAGCAATAATAAGGAAAACCAGAAACTCAGCCTTATAAGTGGACCTTGGAAAGTTTGAAAATTATTCATTCTAATGAAAGTTGAGAGAGGATATCAACACTCTTGATAATTGTAAGAATGAATAAATATGCAAAGGAAAATTATGTCAAATAACAATTTTAACAGAAGAAAAATCTATGTAAGCATTAATAAATTAATGTGTAATTAAGAGGTTCACAGTCTCTACACCAATGTACTGGAATAGAGTTTTTGTGGTAATAGTGTGGTAAATAAAACTTTCTGAAACATTGATTGCTTGTATGAAAGTGATCATATGATGTCTTGTCTAAAATAGCATAGTTCAACTTGATTACAGTAGATGTTTCCATCTTCATAATACAAATACAAATATTACTGAAATTGGTAATTTTATCATCAGAAAGCGTATTGTAGGTTAGAGCTTGCTATAGAAATTACATGTAAGTGGAGAAAGATGTCTAGTATCAATTGTCAGTTCCAGAATTTTGCAGAAGCGTTTATGTTTCTTTTAGAAGAAGTGTTATTTGATGTGATGCCAAATAAACTTTGAAATTCACTTTCTTTTACAAAAAAGTTTCATTCAAATGTGGGAAACTAATGTTGTTGAAGCAACTCTGCTTTTGAAGATTCAGCCTTTTGAGGAGCAGGCTTTTAAATTCATAAGAAAAGGGTATTCTAGAGAATTCTGACATAGGAAAAAGTTTCATGATTTATGGAAGTTGGGGTTTATGAGGCCATTCATTATCAGAATAAATGGTGGTCTTGTTCTTCTGTATTTTCCTAGTTCCTCAGGCTTAGAATGGAAAGAGTGAATACGTTGAGATTGTCTGGCCATGGGAAGGAGAAGATGCCTGCTCCAAGGGTGCCAGTGCTGGCAGCAAGATCACTGGATCTCTTCTCTTCCAGGAGACATGGAGGTCTATTTGTGGTTGGAGCCACCTGACTAGATAAAGTATAGAACAGTCTGCTGTGAAAGTACCTCACTTGAAGACTGCCTGATGGTTTAGTTTCCACTGAATATATCTTGTTATCAGATGAGCCTTTTCAGAAAATTAAAAACCAAACCCAGTATTTTCTTGTTTCTGGGTTTTGTTTGGAATGTTTTGTCCCCTGTCAATTCAGGTGGGCCATTATCTGTTACTGATTTTAATTGGAATCGTGGAAGCAAAATCCTGGAATAAAAAAAAAATGGAATGTTTCTTTAAGCTTTAAAATAGGCAGTCTTGACTCAGATTTTCAGTAAGGGCAATTTATGCATCTGCAATAAATAAATAGCTCTTTAAATATGTGTGAATAAAATATAATCATGTTTGATGTTTCTTTATATTGACAAAGGGGTATAAAATATTTTCATTGTAAAAAACAGTTCAAACCAGTTTACCATAGAAGAAACCACACTTCAGTGTAGGGATTTTCACCAGAGAAAAACTTGGCTGCTGAAAGGGAGATGGTCTGAAATTTAAATGTGTTCTGAAGCCAGTTAATTTGTGCCACTCTAAATGAAACTTAGAGTGGGCAAACACAAAGCTTCCTAACACGACTAGAGGTTCATGACAAAATCAGTTTCAATTGACTAAGCACTCAAAGGTGTACTGTCAGAAAACTGTCTCTAAATGACCGTGTTTGGTAAGTCCCAGCAATCCTGATATTCAGTCAGGCTCTTGGTGTTGTTTGTATGCCATTACTGCATGTCCAGAGTGCCTCATGGGAATCCACTTAGGATGCAGTCTAATAGCCTCTGTCTCCCTTCCACTACAAGATGTAGAGTGATCAGCCTTTTGGAATGTAAAATATGTAACTAAGTTTTCTTTTTCCATCTTAATTTTACATAAAATTGTAAAAATTTGGGGTTTTTTGAGGGTAAGCCTAGGACTAGTCTTTCTCTTAATTGACAATTAGACACACTCCTTGATGTGCTTCCCGTGGACTTTATTAAAAAAGTTCTTACAGGTGGGTATTATCTGTAGAATTGTTCTCTGATATATGGCAGATAATCTACTTTACAAAATTTGCCATATGAATATATTTTACAAAGTAGTAGTATTGTCAAAGTCATTTGTAACACAAATTTCTAACTGTGCATATGATACGCAAACTAAATTCAATGCTGGGAACTTCTTTGTTCGTTTTATGGTGTATTGATTTCGTTTGTTTTTTTTTTTAATTATAAGACTGTAGAATCAATTACTTATTTTTCCATTTCAGGAATAGATTGAAGAAAACATGGCCAATCAACGGGATTACATTAGCAGACCTATTTGCAATGGAATTTCTGTTCCTGAAAATAAAATCAATTCCTTAGTGGCTGAAGGTCATGGACAGCAAATTCTAAAAGTGCTACAAAAGTTCAGAGAACAAAATATATTTTTTGATTTTAAAATTCGTGTGAAAGATGAAATAATTCCCTGTCATCGTTGTGTACTGGCAGCATGCAGTGATTTTTTCAGGTAAACCTAATTTTGATGTGAGTTTGCAGTAAATAGATTCTAAGTTCTCTGGGAGGGAAGGAGGGAGGGAATAGAACTAAAACAAACAAACAAACAAACCAAAAGTTTAAAAAATTATCACAATTTACATATATCTGCAGAGTTTTGAGAACAGCATTCGAACATCCTTTTAAGGGTATGCGAGATACAGCTCTTTGTATTTTCAGAAAGCCATGAGGAGTTTATGAATCAGATTCCAACAGCAGTTGAAACTCAGTAATACAAGTTTCAAATCATAAATGTGTGGTTCTTCTGTTAGGTTGAACTGACACAGGTTATGTATGTTTAAGAGTTGCCTGTTGCCTGTATCAGTACTTGAAGGTCTGCAAGGATATTGTTTCAGTTTTTATATCAATTTTTATATGATAGTCTGTGTACTTTGACACATTCATGTTGTGAAACGATTGATTACAAATACATCTTGTAGTCTTGTACTGAGCAATTGTGGATAAATTGTACATAACTTTGGAATGGAACTGGTTTTTGTTTGTCCAAGAAGAGTGGTCGGTGTTGTAGAAATTGTCTTCAGAGGTATTTAAATAGATATGCATACTTTTCCTAAACTACAGATTTCATCTTTTCAGCATGAAATGGATCTTCCTTCTTGTGCTTAAAGCTGTGTATTCTTAAGGGACAGTCTTCATTCACATACAGAATATTAATTTATAAATAAGCCTTGCTAACCTTTTTATTAGAAAGGTTCAAACTTTCAGTTCCACACTGAAAGTGTTTCTGAATAGAGTTTACTAAAAACAAAGCTCAGACTCTAACAATGAAAAAATGGACTCTTGGGAATGAGTTAATAGCCTCAGTTCGATTGCCCGTACATGGGTGAGTGTTATTTTCAAATGTCCTGGAACATCCCATGGTCTAAGTGAGTCTGCCATGTATGACAGAAGATAGCTAGATGTGTTCTAAGAATTACTGAAAAAAAGAAGAAATGCGGATGAAACGAGCACTTTCTCTACTGTAGGAGCAGATTTATTTTTTTCTCTGACACACAAGACTACTTTTATTTCTCTTTAACTGCTTGACAGCACCAAGATGATCTGGTAGAAAGAAATACTAGGATGAAATAACTTCCAGTGGTAATTTTTAGAACTGAAGTTAAGCACATGGAAACGCGTGTGTCATTTTCATTACCTACAGACTTTCAGATTAAAAACTGCCAGGAGAGATCTCTCCCTGCTCCTAATGGTTGATATGGTAGATAATAGCAGCCATCAGGTTCAGAAGTCGTCCTGCAATGCAAGGTCCATTTTTTACTTTCAAAGAATAAAAAGTACCTAGGTCCACTACAAACATTTTGAAATGGAACACCTTTTGTCTTCTTTGGCCTTTGGACTTCTCTTAGTTTTGGCTTAATTGTGTAAACCGAATAATCAGCAACATTTTGATCCTCACTTGTTAGCTTTAAGAGTCAAAGCCTTTGCCTACATTGCTCCTCTTCTATTAGTATTGTTCAGTTGCTGTTTTACTCCCAAATTAGAGCTTTCATAGCTCGTGGGTTAATGAGCAAAGGATTATAAGGGTCATCATTTAGTATGCAAAGAGGTCTTTGGGACACAGTTGTCTTACTGTAATTTTGTGTTCTTGTTCAGGAAGTCAGACAAGTTCCTCCTTTACCAGGTATTCACATCCCAAAGAGTATGTGCTATACACAGGGATAGTTTTTTTTTTTTCCTCTTTGGCTTCAGAAAAAAATGAGATTTCAAAAATCCCATACAACCGAGATACTAAGTGTATAACTGAACTATGATATAACAATTTTTTTAGTATGAATTAACTATGATAGATTCTCTGCTTTGCATTTGATGATTTATCAAACTCTTCCTCCCTTATTATCTTGTGTCATATTCAGAAGCCACTGCTATCCTAGCTTGAGGCTTAGTCTCTGGGAGGGTAGGGCAAGGGATATTGCAGCACTGTTCTGTTGCTAGCACTTACTTGCTAGTAAAACTTTAATTATTTTATCTTGCTGTGTTAGATTGTGTGAAAGAGTTAAATGTTATTACATAGTTAGAATGAAGCAGTAAAAGTTGTAATAAAATTTCCACAAATCTCCTGGTCAATAGTTCATTCCACAACTTCAACCATCATCTTTGTATTCAGTCACAATCTACTTTCTGCACAGTTTCTTTATATCATGCAATCATATCAAAATCTCATTTTTTTCTCTGACATTGGCCTGTACTCATACATCTCTCTGTCAACTCTAAAGCAAGAATTAAGTTTCCTTGTGTTTTTTCTCCTCATTTACCCCTTACCTACTTTTATTTCTGAGGACTACACCCGTCATCTCTCTGGCCATTTGCTCAGCCTGCAATTTGGAAGGGTTTTTTTTTCCACATAATTTTATGTACTCATCCACATTGCATGACCTAACTTATAGAGCTTTTTTACTATGTATTTTTTTAAATCAGGCTTTCTTTCCCAAAGTTGAAACTGATGCTGTCCTGAAATATTTCACATATTCTCATGCTGAGAGCTGCAGACTTCATCACCATTTGTGAAAATGCATACAAAACACAGGTGCTGCAATGATTTTGTTAAGCCATCACACTGAATATGTTCTTATCACCAATATTTTTTTTCAAACACACCAAGTAATTTCATTGTTCATATAAAAACTTCCACAATTTAGACCAATTTTAGACCAGCCCACATTATTAAGTGCCCCTAATTGGCTCCTTCCACATCAGTGTTCTCATCTGTTTGCTGAATCTTTAATTTGTGTGTATATCTTCTGTATTCTATTCACAGAGCCATGTTTGAAGTTAATATGAAAGAACGGGATGATGGCAATGTTACTATTAGTAACCTATCACCCAAGGCAGTGAAAGCTTTTCTTGATTATGCTTACACAGGAAAAACAGAGATAACCAATGATAATGTGGAAATGCTGTTCCAACTGTCGTCATTTCTTCAAGTTTCACTCCTTTCCAAAGCTTGCAGTGACTTCCTAATAAAAAGTATTGATCTTGTGAATTGCTTACAGTTGCTTTCTCTATCAGAAAGTTATGGGTCTGTCCGCTTGTTTGATCATGCGCTAGATTTTGTACAACACCACTTTTCATTGCTGCTCAGATCGAGTGACTTCTTGGAGATGAATTTTGAGATATTACAAAAATGCCTCGAGGCTGATGAACTAGATGTCCCTGAGGAAGAATCAGTGTTGAAAGCTGTCCTCCAATGGACCAAACACAACTTAGAAACACGGCAGAAATACCTGCCTAATTTGATTAAAAAAGTGAGATTACACCAGTTACCTGAAAAGACTTTGCAGGACTTTCTGCATTCTGAAGAGCACTTACTTAAGAGTGCTAATTGCTCAGTAATAATCAATGATGCAGTTAAAAGTGTGCAGAACTTCAGTGGATTGTTTCCAGATGCACGTCCTTCAACAACAGAAAAATATATATTTGTTCATAAAACTGATGAAGATGGAGAAAACAGACATACGTTCTGCTACAACATCAAAACAGATAAATGGAAAGAACTACCACATACGCACATGATTGATCTGCCAGGGTCAAGTTTGTCTAGCTATGGAGAAAAAATATTTATAACTGGAGGATGCAAGGGTAATTGTTATAGGACTGTCAGGCTTCATATTGCTGAACCATTTCATGATGCCACTGACCAAACCTGGTGCTACTGCCCGGTCAGCAATGAATTCTCCATAGTGTCAGCTATGAAAAAACCGAGGACAATGCACACATCTGTTGTAACCTTAAATCAGCTCTTTGTGATAGGTGGAAAGACCAGAGGAGCTCAAGAAACTCGGAGTCTTTTGGATGTAGAATCCTATAACCCTCTTTCCAAAGACTGGAAATCTGTAAGCCAGTTACCAAGAGGTATCTACTATCCAGAAGCAAGTGCATGCCAGAATATAATTTATGTCCTTGGCTCAGAAGTAGAGATTACTGATGCCTTTAATCCGTCCCTTGACTGTTTCTTTAAGTATAACGCTATGACTGATCAGTGGTCTGAGCTTGTAGCAGAATTTGGGCAGTTTTTCCATGCAACTCTAATCAAAGCTGTTCCAGTGAACTGCACATTGTACATATGTGATCTCTCCACCTACAAGGTTTACAGTTTTTGCCCAGAAACCTGTGTTTGGAAAGGGGAAGGATCTTTTGAATGCGCTGGCTTTAATGCAGGGGCAGTTGGGACAGAAGACAAAATTTATATACTAGGTGGTGATTATGCTCCAGAAGAAATCACAGATGAAGTTCAAGTCTACCACAGTAGTAGGTCTGAGTGGGAAGAAGTTTCACCAATGCCAAGAGCCTTAACTGAGTTTTACTGTCAGGTCATTCAGTTTAATAAATATAGGGACCCCTGGTCACCTGTACTGACGATTTGCTCTGGAGAATTTTGAAATTCCCAAGTTAAAAGAGTCTATTTAAATGCACAAGTTGTAGAATAGTTTTTATGTATTAGTTTACAGATGGAGAAATATGTACTTATTTGTTTAAATTTTCAGTTTCGATTAAATGCTGTAGGATTGCTTTTGGAAGACTCCATTAAAATGTCATTCATGCTAGTCATTATACAGACAGTATTATATACTTAATTTTATATACAACTCTTCTCTGTAATTATTAGAATAATTTTAAAAATTATATGAATTTTCCAAAAAGAATATTAATGAGGAATTAGTTGTGTAATATGTGTCATTATTTCTGTAATATTCACAGTTGTCCCAATAGACAAATTGCTAAATGAGAAAACTGACTGTGATACTGTTTTCCCTATGTAACTGAAGTTTAAAAGACATTTTCATTAGTGTGATTCAGATTTTCCATGTTCATAAACCTGTAATAGGAATACATTGTCAGCTTTATCTTATCACAATGACCTTAGCAAGGACAAGAGCCAAAGTGACCTTCACAGTATTAAAACCAGGTATCTAACTTGAAGAGACTGATAATTCCTGGCATCTTACTTCAGCTCTTCAGTTTTGCCAGTTTTTCTCCATCCTTGTGCCTTAGTAGTAGCTTTATTTTCTGTTTCCATGCCATTAACTGTGGCAAAGTAAACTTCAATGACATACTGCAGGGTAGGTAAGATTTCTACAGGACAGATGATTCATGTGTTACCTTTGCTTCAGTGATGTTGCTAACTAAAGAAAGAAAACTTCAGGATGTTTTCTGACAGAAGTCTTCATCTCTGAAGTCTTCAGTGCTACCTACTAAGCAGTCACTAAGCTGCTAATAGCAGCAAGCTGTAAACTGAACCGTAGCTTTTGCTTCCATTAACTATGGGAAAAGTTTGTATCTTGTCATACATCAAAGTTACAAAACTGCACCCCCATATTAAAAGGCAATAGTAAATAGTATTTCTGAGGTGAGAAATCATCTCTTGTGGTTTAAATTAATTAAAACACTTTATCTTGAACTTCATTGTATTTTTAGATGAAAAAATATTACACAGTTAACACTTCACAATATATTGCTTGATAAACTTTAAGTAGTCAGCTATGATAATGTTAAAATTGTAATGGACTTTTAGTGCTAATATTAGTCTAGCCGTATATTCTGAAGTAAATTTGATCTCATGCTTACAAAGTCAGTCTTCTTTCTGACAGGAAGACACTGAAATTAGCTAGGTTTCATAAATTAATTTGGATTCTTCCACAGCCTGAGAATTTCCTTTCTTACCATGTATCCAGATAAGACACTGAGAGCCCTTATGTTCCCCGTAAGTGTTGTGAAAGCAGTAAGGTTGTCTTCTGCCAGACAGAAATAATGATTTTAAACATTTAATCACATCTTTTCAAGAAGTTTAAATAATGAATAAAATTTAGTGAGGCATCAGAGACATCTTTCATATGTCTTGAGACAACTGTGGTAAGTTCATTATCACATCACTACTGCATGTACTTTTTGTAAAACCCAAGCTGAATATTAATGCTTAAAGCTTAATATTGCCTTGAACAGGCTTCTGTTTTAAGCAGTAAACAATGGAAGGTTCTGATTGTGTGACTGACTCTGTAATTTGTTATGAGATACCCTTACAAATTTAGGTAACATTCATCATAGCAATTTTCATAAGCATGTAAAATAAAATCATGTATATTTGGAATAAAGCAGGACCGTTCCACTCAGTAATTTCTGTATATTAATATGTGTGTCAGTTCTGTAGAAGTAAGTAGCTTGCTACAGTATTTCAGGCAACTTCCCCATTTATTTTGGTTTTTTTTCGTAATAATTCTCCATATTTTAACTAAACGTAGCTAGGTAACCTCTACAATCACCTTGCAGAAATGCAAGTATTTTTATATTGGGACACTACTACTTTTTGTTAGTGCAAAGCAAATGTATTGAGTAGAGAGAGGAAGAATACTATTCCTACTTACTGAAACAATAGGAAAAAACCAAACACATAGGAAAATGGTAGTTTTCGTTTTAATGAAGCTACTCAGGGTAGCATAGAGATTTCATTAATCATTAATTATTGCAACTTGTCACATCATTGGAATAAAAGGCCCAATTCACCTTTGCTTATGTATTTGTGTTGTGTTTATACCTGAGTAATATGAGTATACACTTTATGCATTGAGAAAAGTGACATAATATGCCCGTAGTAAGTACATGGGTATAAATAGCTATGCAAATTGAAAGAGACTAGAGAATTGCAAGCGTGTTTTAATTGCCACTGTCATGACCAGATTGCTGGGTCTCATAAACAGCAAGTGAGTGAGTCATTCAGGTGATGCTCTTTCCTCTAAGTTTTTGCCTACAGCAGATCTTTTTGGCAGTCTTCCACCCAGCTACTTGCTTTAAGACTCTGGCATCTGACATCAGACAGAGCAGTGACGTATGTGAGAAATTCCTCAGTACAGAGGAATTATAGACAGTGAAAACTGACTGTAGCTGAATTGGGAAACCAGATGTGCTTCTTTAATATTCTACACTATACTTGTGCAGGAACTAATGTCAGTTCCCAGTCTGAAAACTCATTCATGGATTTCACAGGGAGGTGAGCTCTTACTCAGTGATCAGGAAATAATGTAGTAATGTCAGTTACTTTCTAGTATTGCTTACAGGAAAGTTACTGTGAAATGGTACTGATTTTCTGCAGTTAGGCAGGTAAACCTGTACTACAGCTCTCACAGAAGGAAAAAGGATCATTTGCCACATTTCCACATACAAAGTATTAAATCTGGTAGCAGAACAGAATGCAGAAGAAGCAGAAGTGTTAGGAAGTCATGTTTAAAAACAAGGCTTTATCATAGAAGAAAGGACCTATGTTCCAAACCCTGTGATTAATTGCTAAAGATGTAAGAAATCTCAGTGAACTACACAAAAAAAAAAAATTTCCTTGAGTAACTGTTGTAGTCTGGGTCAAACTGATTTTTCAGTCTACAGAGCATTTATGCAATTAAAAACAAAAGTCATAAAATTAATGCAAAGTGAGTTTTTAAAAATCTTTTATGACTTTTCAAAGGTCTTTGAATCAAAGCTTTATGAAAAAGTACCTTCCTCTAAAAATAGTAACTAGATTAACGACTATGTATGTTCTCACTGAAATAGAGTGATGTTTAAACATACAAAATGCATGTAAAATTATAATCTACTATTTGCACTTAAATGATGTAACCAAAACATTTCTAATAGTATTCTATTTTATGTCACAGAATACATTATAAGCATGACCAGTATAATATACACGAAGATAATATATATTGTATGTGGGATTTTAATATCCAGTGATGATTATATTGGATAATCTTAATTTTTAAAGAATGCTATCAAAACGTTATGGCACTTTGGTAATGTTATCATACTGGTTTAGTTGTTATAATAAATATCAATTATTCAGGTGTTTTATTGATTATGTTTGCACAGACCTGATGATTATTATTTAAGGACTAATTAATCTGTTTTCTATATTCTAAATACATTTGTAGTAAGTCAGTTTACTGCTGTTAAAAATTCATTATATTCACAAAATTGAGTAGATTTTCTGGGTCAGATTTATTTACGGTATTACTCTGTGAAGAAAACTGTTTACCTCCTGTGGTTACTAAAGGTTAGTAGGTAAGGTATAGGCTATAGAATGTGCTGACTGCAGTTCCTAATGTGGAGATTAATTTTAGATGTTTCTGTTTGTAGGTGACCAACAGGAGGCAGCATAAGATCTCTTTTAATTAAAACAGACTGAAAACAGGGATGTATTTGACAATATTTATAGTTGAGCATTATGCTCAATTTACTTTTTTCCTTCTAACAGCCAGTAAAGCATAGAGAACAGTAACATTTCACTGCTGCCTGGGCTCTGCTGATATGTGGAAAGTATGATACTACACATTTGCTGAGATGTTCATTCTTTTGTGAAATAAAGCACTGAGCAACTGAATCTTGGGTCTCTCTCTTTTTTTTTCTTTTTTTTTTTTTTCCTCAGTGAGTTTTAAACTGCAGAGATTCTACAGTGTTTCTAATGCAGGTAATCTCTTTTGGGATTTGTTGGTTTGTTTTTTTCCCTTCAGTTGGAGAACATTTTGAATGCCATAACCAAGAATGCAGTTAGCATGGATGAAAACTGCACTGAGGGGGGTTTATAATTATCCTTAGACCTTGTATTTGTATTTCCTTTGCATACTGAATTACTGTTCCCATGCTAATTTTAACTGTCTGCTGAAAAGTTTTTAAGTTTACCATGGTAAGGTACTCAATTAAATTGGTATCATTTTTTAAAATTAGATCAGATTGATATACAGGTTTTTTTAACAGTTTAAGTATTGCAAATGATTGGGTGTTTATTGTTACTGAAATGGACCTTCCATACTAGTAGAAGGAGCTTTATATGGAAGGAGAAAAAAGCTGCAGAGTCCAAAATTTGCATGCCAAGATTTGCAGAAATGGCATCGATACAAAGTGATGGAGCCCAGTGTTGTCTTACATCCTTCCAAAACTGAAAATTCTGTAACCCCAAGACTCCTCTATAGATAGATTAGAGTTGCAGCAATACAAATTAACTTTCCAACACTCCAAGGCCTTTGCCCCAATAGCCTTTCAGCTAGCAAAAGCCTTTTGGAGACATGTACAAAGCATTCCAGCAGCATTCACAATATTAAAAGCTTATATTGAACAATGAAGGGATTCACAGACCAAATCTGAGAGCTTAAGTTGCATAACCCTGTGCACAATCAAAAGGAAACTGTATTTTGTATGTTCTACAGATCCAGGGAATTCACCATGGACTTAAACAGTTTGTGTCTGAAGTAGACCATATGGTAGGGATTTTCCTCCTGTCATCAAAAGCAAGGAAGAAAGAATCTGGATTTAATTCTTAAAATACAAATAAATTACGCAAAAAATCAAGTCAGTTCACATAAATGAAGGAGGTCCAAGGATTTTTGTTGGAGGAATCTGTTATACACCTGGATTTTTCACCAGTGATTAACAGCCTCCATAAAAGTAGAGTAACAATTCTGGGAGAAAGTAGAGCTAGGTTTATATGCATAGCTACTCTAGGAAAAAATATGATTCCTAGTTAAAATTTTTCTAGGAATGCTAATCATATTTAGTGGGTTTGTCTTTCACAATAAAAGAAGGATATTCAACAAGGTATAATTAGGACTAATTATTTTTGCAGACTAGCAGAGGATCAGACTGTTAATGACCTCCCCTTTCCATCATTTATCCACCTACTTCCTCCTCAATCTAGTGTGAACTACCTTGCAAGACCTTTACAGAGCGCTTGAATTTGATTTCTGAGCACCAGAAAATTACAAGTTAAAATACCGGTGTCACCGTTAGGTCAGACATGACATACACACACGTAATCAGGGTCCAAGAAAAACCATTTTTATTCTGTGTATTCTCCAGTTTATATACTCTTAACAAAACATGATCTTAAGTCATTAACTACATCACAATAACGTATTAATTGGTGGAAAGCAATTATCATCAGTATAATTGGCAAAAGTTTTACAGAAATTTAATGAGGCATGTATACACATTTACTAACGCACATAGTATAACTTACAAAAATGTTCATGTATCTTTTCTAATCTGTTCCCATGCTGATGGCCTTGTCTTCTTCCTTGCTATGGATACTCTCGAAAATCATCAATTGTTATTTCTTCTAGTAACTCACCTTTGTTTGCAGGCCAGCTGTCAAGCCCCTCCATATACTGATAATAATGTAAAGGGAAGCCAAGTTCATGTATGGGTTTCAGTAAGAAATACCCCAGTGTTATATTTGTCAGCAATGTGGCATGGTCTTGCTCCACTACACCTCACCATTTTACTTTTTAACTGGATTTTCAGCACACAGTGGGCAACTATGGCAGCAACACTATCACTACCTGTTAGCAAACTGGTAAATTAAGTTGGCTGAAACTGGAAAATACCGTTTTAGGGAGATTTGCAATTTCATCACAGTTACGATCTCTTAAAGCTGTATTAATCAAATAACTACCCATACAAGTGAAAAAATTTGGGAAGACTGAGCAAGTCACTGTTAATGAATGTGTGAAGTACTAAATGCACACATCAGGTTCGGCAGACTAGAGGTACCAAACTTGGAAAAAGTAGAGTTACATCATTAAGGCGCCAGGACCTAACAAAGAAGACAAGGACCAGACACGTCTTGTGTGGTGGAGGGGACGAGGAACCTCAAGCCCGACAGCTCCAGGAAAGCGATTTATGTGTATATTGACCCACATCAATGGCGTGGTGCAGCGCTCCCCGAAAAATACTTTTATTTCTTTCATTACGGGATGTGATAGACGTCCTTTCTCCATTTTAATCACAAACCGCGCAGTTCAGGACGAACAGCCGGTTGTCGCGCGCTCCCTCTGGGCAGCAGCATCATAAACCGGGCAGGCACACCGGTAGCTTATACACGGTTATCCCGCACGTTCCAGCCCCCCTGCTCCTCCCTCCTTTCCTCCTCCTTTCCTCCACCTTTCCACGCAGGCCACCGCCCAGAGGCGCCGCGACCCACCTCGGGCCGCGCCCTCCGGCGAAGCGGCAGCACCACACCCACCCCGCGGAGGGTCCCTGGATGAGGGGGGCGGGCCACCACAGCCCGCAGCCAATCATCGACACGCCTGCAGAAGACAAGCGGTGGCTGCAGCCAATGGCTGCCCGGCGGCTGCGCGCGGCGCGGCCCCGCCGGCGGAGGCGCGTTGGGGATTCCGGCCCGCCTGGCGCGGCAGGGCGGGGCGGGGAAAACGGCGGACACGGAGCACCAATAGGCGTGCGGAGACGAGTGACAGGCAGGCAGCTCGCCCAATGGGAGGGCGGTGGCCGTTAAAGGGCCGGCGGCTCGGAGGGGAGCGCCGGGCGCAGGTGAGTCGCGCGCGCGGCCCCCGGGGACCGGGCGGGGCGGGCGGCGGCACCGGCCCGGGGATGGGACGGCCACTCCCCCCGCGGCGTGTGGGCAGCCCCTGCCGCCCTCGGGGGGCACAGCGGTGGGGCTCCGCCGCCCTCGGCCCCTGGGGGGGATGAGGCGATTGCCCGCCGTCTTATCTCCCCACGGGGAAGTCCCGTTCCTATTTCTCCTTCTCCCGGCAGAGTCGCAGGGCCGCGCCGGCCGGAGAGGCCCTGGCTTGCTTCAGAGCCCACGGGCCCATCTGCCCGGGGCCTCGGGCTGTGCTGGCCGGGCAGCCCGCCGTGCCCCCGCCTCCCTTTGTTGCCGCCCTGCTTTGCCTGCAGCGCTCCGGGTGGGAGCGCGCTGAGGCCGGAGCCGCCGCCGAGCCCGCCCTGAGCCTCCCGGGGCGCCTCCCGGGCCTTGGCTCGTCCCGGGGAACGGGAGCTGCGGCCTGATAAGTCTGTGCCTTCAATTGCCTCAGTCCTCAGCTGCTTCCCATCTTCCGCTCTTTCTCCCTGCTTCGTTGAATTGTCCTTTTAGGTGCTGTTGGTTCCCTTCTGTGCCTGCTTTTTTTGGTTGTGTAAACCGCAGGCTTCTTCCAGGGCTGTGTTGGGTGATGTGTTGTGCAGCGTCCAGATCCTCCTGTAGTAAAAACCTTTGTACAAAAGCATAAGTTGCTCCGAGCCAGGGTAGCCATCTCTTAGGAATCACAAAAAAGTTTTCTAGAAAGCCTTTGGCAGAAGATATTCAAGACCCTAATTTTGTTTAAGAAAACTTAGCGATAGTAGGTCCTTGTAATTTGATTTTTTTTTTATTCAAGCATAAGCCCTAAAAGTTTTTTTTTTTTTAATCAAGACATCATCTGTTGTAAAAAATAATGATTTTCATGAAATTCAAGTTTGATGCTAGCAACAGTCTTCCACTCCTGGTGAATGCATGGATTTTTTTGTTTGCCTCATTGTTTGTTTGGTGCCTTTGCTAATTTTTATTTTGTTTGCCCAACATGTGGTCGGACAATAAAAGTGTGAACAAAAGAAACAGAAAATATAGAGGCAGAATGAGGATGCTTCTGTCTTTAACTATGCCAAAGGTACTCAGTGTATGCATATTCTGTTTGTGGAGTTTCCAGCTTAGTTTTACAGTACTTGTTTCTTTTCAACCCCAGCAGTTTGTATTTCTTTTGTGCAGTGATAAGAGCCTTCTTGATCACAGGTTGCTTTTGGCCTGACAGGCCCAAAGTCTAAGCTCCATCCTGCCATCTTTTCTGGAAGACATTAAAGTCTTCATGTTGTCATCAGAATTGGGGTTTTTTAGCCAGCACTTCACGTTTCTACCCAAACTGTCAAAGTGTGCATTTTGCATTGCAGTTCTCCCCAGCTTCTTGTGCACCTCCTCACTGGCAGAGCATGGGAAACTGAAAAGCCCTTGGTTTAAAGTAAGCACTGCCTAAGCACAACCAACACATTGGTGTGCTGTCAACATTATTGGCACACTAGTCCAAAACACAGCGTTGTCCCAGCTACTAGGATGAGCAGTAATGCTATCCCAGCTGCTGAGGTTTGGAATATTGGTGGGTTTTTTTCCTGTAGCTATCTAGAAGGTGTACAAATCCTAGCTTATTTACAATCTCTTAGATACTTTGGGTATGTAACAGCTCATTTTTCCTCATTAAAGAGTAATATCCTGGAGACCATCTGGCAATGGCTAAGAACTGAATATCCCAAATCTCAGCTTTTGTTAGATAATAAGGTTTTTTAGTTAATATTTCAGATAGATACACAGAACCATCTTTGGGAGTAAATATACTGCTAAGACAATTCACTAACTCAACTTATATTAATTAGAAAGGAATTGTCCTTAACAAAGCAATATGCTTTAAAAAGGAAAGAGTTAAAGAGGCAGGATGTCTCTGGAATTGGAAGTTGATAGTAATGAGTTTTAAAAAATATATATTTTGCTGATGTTTCACTGGGAAAGTCAGGGGTTTGTATCGGATATGTTCTAGTAAAAGTTTTAAATAAAAGTCTAAAAGAAAACTTCACCTAGTAAAGGAATTGGATGCCAGTAGTTTCCAAGTTAGTATTGTAGTTCTTAAAGGTCATGTCCTTGGCTTATGGCATAAGATCCAAAACAGAATAGACATTTAACAAAGCATGGCTGGGGAGATCAGTCAAGTGATGCAGGGGGCTGGCCCACAGGGTCATTTAAAACATTTGCATGTTTAAATTCTCAGCCCTCTCTAGAGCTAAGGAGAAAGCTTACCTGTCAGCATTTTCCATGTTGATGTACAATTGTATTTGGAAGATGATGAAAATTTGGAAACCCAGTTTGTTTTTTGTTTGTTTTTCTGTGTTTGTTGGCTATGAAAGAAAACATGGATGTGGAAAACTGCAAGTGAGCCACTTACTTGCAGTCAGTAGTGTATCAGAGATGAAGAACAATGTCTAAACTGTGAGACCTTATTCCCCAGGTGGGGAGTTGTAGTGCAGTGTGCTGATGTGTGTGCTTTAATCAAGTTCATGGAGAACAATAGGAGGAAAAATACTTAGTAATTTAAGAATCCCGTATAGGTGGGAGGGAGTTATTTAGTTAGTAACAAGTGAATCTATAATCTGGAAGCCATTTCCCTTCAGGTGGACCAATGTCTCTGCTGCATGAACAGTAAACAAGCAGCAGCTAGAAGTGTATAGTGAGTCCATGGCCCACTTGACTTAAAGCTTTTTAAACCTTTCTGCAGTGGTAGGTAACATGGTACAAAAGTCTGTTCAAAATAATCCTAAATTGAACCTATTGTCAAGCAGTCTGTGAGCAAGAGCCATTTTTGATTCCTAGTCTTCCACAATTTGGTGGGTTGTTTTGGTTTTTTTTTTTTTTTTAATATAATCTGTTATTAATGCTGTAATAATATTCGTTACTGTGTTAACAGTCCCCTCAGTCTCTGCTTCTCTGCAGAGTTGCACACAGTCTGTCAGGTGAATTAGGGGGGTTTGTGTTCCCCTCACCATCAGGCACAGCCCCAGCTGGTGCTGAGGGTAGAGCACTGGCTGAACTGTAAAGCTGCCCTGGTATCTGACAGGAGATGTTCAGCAGCATGAGAAGGATGCAGGAGGGTTTTACCATGGGCATATAGTGACTTAAATCTGTTTCCTGTTAAAATGTCTCTAATGAGTGACATTTGTTTTAACTAGTAGTTATTTTGTGACATTCAACAGGATTGCTCCAGTTCTTTTATTTATGTTTATGTTAAGTTAGAAGAATCTCGAAAATGTCAACTTTTCATATTAATTAATTTTTTTTAATGAAAATGTTTTCTTATTTAAAATGTGTTAAAAAAATTTCAGTACCCTAAACATCTCATATTTTTGAAGTAATGATATAACAATTTCAGCTTCTTTTGTAAGTAGTTGAGCATTCAAACTGAAATGCGTGTGTCAAATTTCAGTCTTAAGGAAATCCCAACTGACAAAACTCTTAAGAGCTGAAGGAAAATATCTGTAGTTTTGTAATGGAAATACCAAATCAGCCTTAACAGTTTGTGACATAGATATATTAATATATCCATGGTTTTATGATTTATAGGAGATTAGAGGAAGTATCTATGACTACTTTGTATTGAAAGTTTAGCAAAATGATTTTCCTTTATCAAATAAACAGTTAGTTCAAAATATGCATTCCTTAAATGATGACTTAGGAGTCAAGTTGTTAAATGAAAATATCTGGTGTGTACCTTGGAGATTTATCTTGTTTGCTCTTTTTCTCTTAGGAAGCCTGACAAATAGAAAAATACAACAAAGTGAAGAGAAAATTTACTTCATGAGAACTGAGCTCTGCTTTCATTTGCTTTTAAATTTATTTGTATTAGTAGCTGATTAGTGTCAGATCATCTCTGTGGTCTGCTTGGTGAAATTACTAGGTTAAGCCTGGAAAAAATGAAACAGTTAAAAAGAAAAAGAAAAAGCAATTTTAGTGTTCAGGAAACTCAAACTCTCCTTAAGGAAATCAGAAAAAGGAGAGAAGTACTCTTTTCAAAGCAACTTAATACAACAATTAATGAGATGAAACGGAAAGCTTGGGAGGAAATAGCAGAGTGTGTCAATGCTGTAGGTGAAGGAGAGCAGAGAACAGGGACAGAAGTGAAAAGGCGATACCTTGACTGGAGAGCACTCATGAAGAGAAAACGTCTGAATGCAAACATCAAAGTAGTAGGTGCTGGGTTTCACCTTCCTTCATCCAATTTAGATGACTCTCTCAATGAAGACATGGATGAGAAAATGGGATTTGCAATTGAATCTAGTTTTGAGTGGCAAAATATCACTGACTTCAGAGAAGCCGGGGGATCGTTAACAGAAATCAAAGTAGAAGAGGAAGAGGAAGACCCGCAGAATTTTGAAGTGAGTGACTGATATACTTGAGCTATGTGCAATATGGCCTTTGCTTCATTTCAGCATAAGGCGTTTTACTGTGTTTCTTCATAGCATCTGTTTCTGTTTTTTTCTGAATGTGTGAATTAAACTGTAGAAATAAATATAATTCAGAGACATGGTATTCAGATCTAGCAACTTGGAATTGTCTGTAAGGTCTTGGATGTTGATTACTGATTTGAGATCCCTAAACTTCGAGTATATCTTTGCACATGTATTTTCCATTTGCAAGTGCCACAGATAAGAATTACTTGAGTCAATGCAAGGAAAATACTGTTGAAGGAAACTGGTCATTTTAGTATTCAGAATGCCTCGATGGATAAGCAGAGAAGTGCTCATCTTTAACAAATGGAAGTAAATGTTACCTGCAGGTACAGAAAGAAATAGAATACAGAAAGAAATAGGATACTGCTTGCATTACTTGAAATGAACCTACAGGAGATAAAAACATTACTTGAATTAGTCAGTCAGCCTTTCCTCTCTGTCAAAATTTTAGCGTGAATTTGGCAAGCAGTAGTGGATTCTATAGACAAGTTGATGCTCCTAGTAGTACTGTGACTGTCTTGGGATAGGCAACCAGCTGGAGCACAGTCACATGTTGGGATAGTTTTGCTGTTCCTCTTTAAACACATAGTTCCCTTTTCCAAAAGGGATACTCAAACGATTTTGTGTAGGGTTTTATTGCTTTAGGTTTTTTTGGGGGGAGATTTTTTGTTGGATTCGGTTTTTTTGAGTGGGAAGAGTGGGGAGGCAACTCCTGTCTTAACTCCTTTGATATGTATGCTGAGAGAAAACCAGTGTAAGCTGTTAGATGGTAGTGAGAACTACTGTCAGACAGTGCTGAAGGAACAGTGTGTGTCTTCTCTAATGCTAGAGGACTAGCGATGGCTCTCCTAGTCCTAAAGTTTTTCTGAACACTTGCCTTCCTCAGTTTGCCTTTCTCTTGCAGCATGCGTATTGGGAGACAGTTTATCTCTTTTGTACTATGAATTTGTAAGGGCTGTAGTAATACACAAAATGTTACAGTCTGCTGAAAGCAGTGGTCTTCACCACCTCATGATGTGCCACAAATAGCTTTACAGCAAATGTGATAATACAAAATGGTTAAAAAAGTCCTTGCTTATTGACCCACTTAGTAGAGTTGGGAGAGTTTGGAGCATGTGAAAAATGTCAGTGTTAAATGTTTTTTAGGAATGGAATAGCCCAAGTTATTGAAGGTTAGGCTAGCTTACATAACACATACCCTATGGATCCATCTGCTCTGATAAATAATTAGTCACAACAAATGCCTGGTGGCTTACATAAATGTCACTCAGCTCTATGAAAGGTAAGAACAACATATGGTCTTCTAGATCCAGTTTTTTATCAGTTGTTCTGAATTATCTGTAATAACTACTCTGCTATATTTTCTGGATGTTTTTGTATGTTCACTGACAAGATTTTCCATTTTTTATTAGCAGATATTAAGTTGCAGATAAAGCCTGTTTCTCTTCCTGTAATGATAAAAAAATCTTCTGACGTAGCATGGTTATTTTACAAAATATAAGTTAAACATTTCTGAATCGCTTTAAAGATTATGAAAAACATGCACTATGTTCTTTTCAGTCAAGTTGTACATAAACATTTGTTCTGCCATAAAGACTGGAATGTAATTCTTGTCTGTTGCATTCCTCTCTGCAGTTTCCTATTGAGGAAGAAGAAGAAATATTGTCATCAGTTCTACCAGATTCAAAAAAGGAAAATGACCTACCAGACTTCCCCCACATTGAAGAGTTTGGAAATCTGAGCTCTGCTCAAGCTAGGCTAGCCTATGAAGATTCTCACTTGCTTATAAACCTGGAGAAGCAAAAGGTGGAGCTGGAGAAGCAGCGACTGGACATCGAGGCCGAAAGGTTGCAAGTGGAGAAGGAGCGCCTGCAGATTGAGAAGGAGCGGCTGCGCCACGTTGACTTGGAGCGTGAGCGCCTGCAGATTGAGAAGGAGCGACTTCAGATAGAGTGGGAGAAACTCAGGCTAGAGACTCTGCATGCTGAAAAACCTGCCCTGGAAAGTGACCTCACCCAAACTGAAAAACCCATCATGCAGCCTCTGGATCTAGAAACTGAAAAGTTAAAACTTGAAAAAGAACGTTTGCAGTTAGAGAAAGAGAGGCTGCAGTTCCTAAAGTTTGAGTCAGAGAAGCTGCAGATTGAGAAGGAGCGCTTGCAAGTGGAGAAGGAGCGCCTTCGAATTCAGAGAGAGGGTCACTTGCAGTGAACATCTCAGCTAAGGTGTCAACGTTAGTGTTTCGATGTTTCTAAATTAGAAGTAGTTCTTTCCTTGATACTGAAAGTGTCTTAGAGGCTTAACATTCTTCTGTTCAGAGTTGAATGTTGATGTTAAATTGAAAAAAAAATGGTGCTCAATATGTCAGTGTGCCTACATAAATGATCTTACGTGTGAAATTGCTTTTCAGTGTATCAGAACTTAAGTGTTATGTTCTCTTGTCTTCAGTATTGTGCTGTATTAGTTCAGTGTCCTCCTCTCACAGAGGCCTTGAGAAGAGTCCAGGCTGAACCTTGTACTTTTGTCACCGTACTAACAGGAAGGAAGGATCAGAATAAATCAGCTTGCTGTGAGGACATGGTACTGACAATAGCCTATATGGTAAAGAAATATAATTTTGGCAGAACACAGGAATACAGAGTCATTACAAGAGCAATTCATTAAATTTTATTCCCTCCCCCCCTTTTTTTCTCCACCCCCATAATTGGGAAAAACAGTTGAAGCGTTATCTAGAAGTTAAAGTGCAAGTTAAATTTGTTGCAGTTGTGTTTACTGTTGTTCCATGGCTTGAACTGAATGGGAGTGCGGAAGATAGGTTTGAGTTTTTATGGTGGTTTTTTTTTTTTTTGGTTGACATATTCATTTTAGGCAGTTACACATCAGCCATACATACTATGAGCTGGCCTGTTGGTTTCACCCCGCCATTAGTAATGCTGTGTGGAGTAAAGCACCTGTGTTAGGATAGCACAGGGATTTACTGGTGGATCAGACATGCTGTCTAATGAGTCTGTGATGACCCTCTGTAGGAAATTGCTAGACCTTGTTTGTTCTTGGAAGGCAGTAGCTAGTGATAGGAATCTCAGAAATGGAGACTGAGCTCAGCCTAAGAACCTCTGAGCTTGAACACTTCTGCACTCATTGCTGGTTCTGCCTGGCCAGTGCCAAAGTCACATCTGCAAGGCAGCCAGAAGAGGCTTCTGTTGCTCTCTATGTAATGTATTTTAATTAGACAAACAGAAATTATCAGTGCTGAAGGCTGTTAGTATTTTTCATAGGCAGTGTAGTCATATAACAAAAAAAAAAAGCCAAGGAAGGAAGCTTTCTATTATTTCATGTATGTTTAAATACCAGCTGAGCCAGACTTCACCTTTCTCATCTTTCTGCAAGTAACTGTCATGTTAACTCCATTGAAAATGTAAAACTGTGGGAATACTAAGTCTAAACTTATGTTGAGTGACTTAGGTGAATTTGTGTGCAAGTAAATAATATTTATATCACTACAGGTTTACTTTTATTCTGCAAAGATTATTTTTTTATTACTGAAACAAGTGTGATTCTACAGTGGAAATAAATTTGACTACTACACTCCAAAATGGCTCTTGAGGCTTTCTTCACAGAGGAGCTAGGATACATCTGAAGAGAAACCTGGATGCTGAACCCTGCAGCACCCCAGTGTTGCTGGTGCCTGTATTCCCTGTGTAGTCAGTCAGAAAGATGAGGCACCTCAGAGCTGGACTTAAATCACCTGGGACTTACTTGAGAAAGGAAGGAGGAAGGAGATACCAACCAGTTAGATAAAAATGCCCTGGGGAAAGTTTCCCTGAGTTTTTTCTTTCTAAATGTGGTGGGCTGACCTCAATGAGATGCCAGGTGGACACCAGTATTGCTCCATCACTCTTCAGCTGGACGAGAGAGACAATATAACAAAAGATTCATGGGTGGAGATAAGAGCAGGGAGAGATCACTCAGCAATTATGGCAATGGGCAAAACTGGCTTGACTTGGGGAAATTAGTTTGCTATCAATCAGTTAAGAGTAGAGTAATGAGAAATAAAACCAAATCTTCAACCACCTTTTGCACAGCATTCCCTTCTTCCCAGGCTTAACTTCACTCCTGGTTTTCTCTGCCTCTCCTTGCAAGGGGTGCAGGAGGATGGGGAATGGGGACTGCGGTCACTTCAGCACATGCTGTCTCTTAATCTCCTTCCTCAAGGGGAGGAGTCCTCACACTCTTCCCCTGCTCCAGCATGGGGTTCTTCACCTGGGAGACAGTCCTCCATGGATTTTTGTAACAAGAGTCCTTCCCACAGGCAGCAGTTCTTACTGAAGTGTTCTGGTGTGGTTCCTGCAGGGTGCAGTCCTTGAGGGACAGGCTGCTCCAATGTGGGTGCCCTGTGGAGTCTCAAGTCCTGCTAGCAAACCTGCTCCAGTGTGAGCTTCTCTCTCCACAGGTCCTGCAGGGAGCCCGTTCCTTCTGATGTTTCCATGTGCTTCAGCGTGGCTCCCCCACGAGCTGCAGGTGGATCTCTGCTCCCCCATGGGCTGCAGGGGCACAGCTGCCGCACCATGGGCTGCAGAGCAGCTCCAGCACCAGGGGCACCTCCTGCCCCTCCTTGTGCATTGACCTTGGTGTCTGGGGCTTTTTTGCTTGGATATTGTCATTCTTTTCTGGCTGCATTGACTTCTGTGCATTTTCTTCTTGTTAAATACATTATCCCGGTGTCACTAGCACCAGCACTGATGGACTTGGCCATGGCCAGGGGCAAGTCCATCTTGGAGCCCCCAGGGATTGGCTCTGTTGGACATGTGGACAACCTTTGGCAGCTTTTCTCAGAAACCACCCCTGTAGCCCCTCCTTCTACCAAGACATTACCTCACAAATCCAATATACCAGAACAAAGGGACAAATTTGCAGCTCTCTGGTATGCATCATGCAAATTGATATTAAAGTAACTTTCTGTGATTTGGAGAAAATCTTTTCCTTTTAAAGCATGAAAGAGGCAAAATTCACGGAGTTAGTCAGGTGTCTAGTGCCTAGGACATTGATCAAGACAGTGGGATAGCATGGATTTTATGACTGTGTGCCCTGAGGGGACCAACTTTCTAGATAACTATTCTGACTGCCCAACAGGGTCAGGGTAGGAACAAGGAGCAACATAGCCAGCTCTGCAAGTGGTAGTGACCAGAAGGACCGAACCAGGAGAGAGAGAACATCCTGCAATCTTACCTGGAAGACATGTCTTGCCAGGGCGGAGCAGATGTGGATTCTGGCTCCTGTTTTGACAGGTAGTTGAGCTGCTGCTTGATCCCAGCACCTCCGTCTTCGTGAATTACTCCATTTATCCATTAGGATAATGATTTGTATTTTACATTTAATGACTTCAGAAGTGTACCCCAAGAGCATGAAAGGTTTTAGGAAAAATAGGTAGATAAATCTGAACCATCTCTGAATTCTTAATTGTTTCAGAAATTTGAACACTTTTCCAAATGTTAATAGAGCTGTGTGTAAGCAATTACTTTTCCTAACAACTGTTCAGCCTCCTAGGGAAATGATATGTCTTTTGGTTATAGAAAATGTCTTGGAAAATATTGAATGATGAAATTAAGTATTGAGATAAATCATTGAAAATGCAGTTTCAATATAAAATTTAGAAAAATTACAGAGTTTAATATGTCTATTTTATAGCTTGCTTTTTTCATAATGAAAATGCAGTCATTTTGTGATAATTTGAATTAAAATATCATATATTTAAATACTAATCTGCAATCCCTTAAACTTTAATTGCTTGGTGATCACCTGTGATCCTGATGGTGAAGCCTAAGGTCAAGGTTTCAACTCTGTAAATGTCCCCCAGGTTAGGACATAGACACGAACTCATTGTTCTACCAACATTGATGATGGGGTAAAGGTAAAGGTAAATGCAGTCCCCAAGAACAGCCCAGGATGAGCAGTGTCCCAACAGACACAGCTGACAAAGCACAGTAAGATTCAAAGACAACTTCCTTTCCTTGAGTCTTATGTTATTTCTGGGACATTTTAAGCAACTTCCATTGCACAAAAGGAGATGCTGCAAGCAACATACAAAAGGTTTAAAATATTAGTTTGTTAAGATGAACAAGAGATGGTTAGGATTTCATGAGCATTTGTATCCTTTTCACCTCAAGGTATTTTTGCTACCCAGGGAATTATCAGCCAGCGAGGAGGAGTTTCTAAAAGCCCCCTTGCGAGTGGGAACAGAAGCCCATAATTCATATTTCTTCACCTTTTCACAGAACTGTTCATGCAGTTACCACAAAAGAACATCAGTGATGAATATCCTCTCTGGCTCATTCGCCCCCAAAAGCTCCCTGCAGAAAGGCACGGAGTGCTCCAAGGAGATGGAGTCAGACCTAGGGCTGATATTTTGCAAACACAAAAATACCCTCAAAAATCCTACTCTCTGTCAGTCAGGAGCCTTGACAGAAGTGATAGGTGGGAGAAGAGAGAGGAGGAAAGACTAATTTTTCTCTGTTGTTGCTGAAATTATTAATGAATTTAAGCCAGACTGTGTCAGAAAATGTCACCACATGCAATAGTATTCACCTTTTTTCTCTTTTATCTTTTTCCTTTTGCTTTTAATTTTTTCTCTTTTCTTTCTCTTTTTCATTTTCTTTTCTGTGTATCACTATAAGTCTGAATACCTGCATCACTCAGACACTGTTGAAGTTTGCAGCTAACATTAAGATGAAATTTAAGTAGGCTGGATTATTCTGTAGGATAATGGGTTTGTTTTGCATCAAGGGCTCAGAATGTTTGTAGTAGGTATTAGGACTATGGAAAGATTTTAATCCAAGTTTAAAAAAAAAAGGAAAAAAGAGAAGAAAAGAAAAATTATTGCATTTTTTAATGAATTCCCACCTGTTTTTTTGTTTCCAGATAATCAGCTTATTTGAAGATGCAAATACAAGGAGCGAAGAACACTTTTAGTATGGGCTTGGGAGAACTTGTAGTACTTCATCTTTTCCTCTTTTTTTAGTTTGGGTTTGTTTTTTTTGGAGGGTTTATTTTGTTTTGGTTTGGTTTTTGTTTTTTGTGTGCCAGTTTGTACCAAACCCATGATTTCCAAAGCACTAGCTATGCAACTTGTGCTCTTGGTTTGTGCCCCAGGTGATCTAGCAGTGACTCAGTGATCAGCCTTTTGCCATTCAGACAGCATCAAATGGGAGTTGGGGAGGGAGCTCAGGACAATGGGAGCTCTTGCCCACACCTCATTGTGTTTTTCTCTCTAGTCTCTTAAAGCAAAATCTCCTGATGCTATGTCACATGATGCCAAGGAATTCAAGGGTTCTCAGCCATCACAAAACGTACTAGGAAAAAAAATATGTCACCTGACAGAAGACCAGAAGAAGCCCTTTTCAGATGCTGCGCATAATCCTTGTAAACTTGACCTGCTTTAGAGGACACTTCCATCCTGTCCTTTTACAGATTATTAAGAATGCCATTGTTATTTTCTGTTCCAGTTTTATTGGTTTTAATTTCCCTGCTTCACTCTATCAGTAGTTTTATTCTATACATTAGTAGACTGTGAAATACCTTGTCTTGTTACTTCCATACTTTCTAATTGCAACACTCCATCATTAGTCAACGGATTCATAATGTGGAAGGCAAAGTTGCTATTTCATTTCATGCTATATAATACAATGCTTTTGGTTCAGTAATTACATTGTGCCAGACTTGTGATCAATCCTGAGATAGCTCACTTGTGATGGATAGCCCCATCACAGAGCGTATAAGAGTTAAAGGAAGAAGCAAATTTTTAATTTTGCTACTCTGTCAATTTAGCTACTTGAATACATCTTTGCAGACCAATATTTATCTTACTGTAGAGATTACAGAAATGAGAACTTAAAAGAGAAAATTGAAGTTTGAAAAGCATTTTATAAAGTTTTGGTTTGCAAACCAGGAAAGATAAAAATTAAATGTTCTTCCACAGAAAGCTATTGTGTGTTATTCTGTTAATGGATTGCCAATCTTCTAGTCACCTGTTTAATGTACTGGAGAAAATCATTACCTGCTTCTTATAACTATTCTAAGGGTTATGTGAAATGAGCTCATCATCTTACTTCTATTATTGCTCAGTGCTAGGCCTGTGAAAAAAAGATTTTCAAAGGTTTTTTTTTTCCTCTGTCATAGAGGTGTTTGTGAGTAAAACAATTTTCTGCAGTGCTGGCAATGTTCAAACAGTCACAGGATATAGGGAGTGCCTTTTCCTAACAAGGAAGGAGTTGCAAGTATGGGGTACAAGAGTGTAGCATGGGTTGCAGGGACAGCAGGACAGCCACGCCACTGGAGTAAAGGTGGAGAGAGCTGTGGCCTGAGGTTACAGCAGAGGAAAGACTGATCCTCGTTGGGCATGTTTACACTTTTCTGAAAAAGACGTGCTAGGAGAGACAGACAGAATTTCTGTACAGACAGACTATGGCTTTGGTTAAATAAAGCAAAACTCTTGGTCTTGAATATCTTTATAGATAGGAGGTCACAACATATTCTTAGGTTTTGAACATAAATAGAAATTTTTCCTATTTATGTTATAAAATTCTCTGGTCTTCATTGT